TTAAATTTGCTATCAGAGCTAATTGTAAGATATTGTTTTTCTTTATCGAAGTCAACTACTTCAGATAAAATTCTAAACCTTTTGGGTTGAAATTGAATATCTTCAGCAAATTTGATATAGTCAATAGCTTGGTAGTTGTTTGTAAGATAAAGATGAAGATGTGCAAGGTTAATGCAGAATTGTAGTCGGTTTGGGCTTGTATAAGGAGAGATTGTTGCAGATGAAGCAAATATTTTTGGATAGTTATGTTTTGTGAAGAACACAGTAGTAAATATAAGGATTAATTTTTTTAGAATTTCTTCAAGTATATCGAAAGAAATTGTTATAGCTTTGTCAGTATTTGGATTGTTTTTCTGAATAAAATCAACTAAAAATTGGGATCTTTCTCTTGCCATTTTGTGGATTGTATAGTAGAAGCTAGCTTTAAGAGCTGGTCAGTCACCAATTTTAGGTTTGATTTCAGTTTCAGGTTTAAAGTTAAATAGATGTTGTTTAAGGAAATTAAAGATTTTTTTTACAAAGTCTGTTTGCATTTGTGATTTATCTTTCATTTTTTTAGTTACAGGAAAGTTGGAAAGCCAGTTGAATGTTGAGTTGGCTTTAATTTTTTGTTGGTTGTTATTAGTATTTGGTTTTGTTTTCTGTTGTTGTTATTATTTGTCTGGTTGTTGTTGTTGTTTGTCTGATTGTTGTTGTTGTTTGTCTGGTTGTTGTTTTTGTTGTTGTAATTGTTTGTTCGAGTATGGTGATTGTTGATTATTAATATTAATTGTGTTGTTATTCAAGTTCATAGCATTTGGGTTGCTAGTATTACTTGCAGGTGATGTTGTGAATATAAGTTCGAATGCAAGTGGGTTATAAGAACTGATTGTTTGTTGAAGTTTTTGAATGAATGTAGAAGAGGAACTTGATGATTGAGTAGGTTGTTAAGTATATGCACATGTTTTGTAATGGGGTTTGTCATTATATAAGATTGCATCTGTTGCCAGATAATGTTGATTATTCATTTTTTTGTAGGCAATAGGCAAGTTGCATTTATCACATAAGTGATTGTATATAGTAGGAAAGGGCAATACTATAGGTGATAGTGGGATAAAGTCAGTAGAGTTTGCGATATTGTTTGCTAAAGATTTTTTATCTTTAGATTTTTTGTTAATAGGAATAGTTTCGTGTTGTTTGTAAGTTTAGTTGGAAGTTAAGATAAAATGGGTATGGAACTTGGCACAAAAGCATGTAATAATAGAACTAGATTCAGGTGCCTTAAAGTAATGACAACTTTTAGTTCCTCCTCTAAGTTCTGTAGTTGTACAATTATTTGGTTGCTTGTTTGCAGAAATGAGACGTGATGTATTAGCTGCATCTTCAAGAATACCAATACCAAAGCTTTTAGGACACTTTTGGTAAAAATAGTCAAGGTCGATGGTATCAGGTGCAACTGTAATTAAAGTTAGCATTTTTTTCTAAAAATAGATTTTTAAGTATGTTTTCCAAAAAAATTTGTTTAATTTAGAGGCTTTCAGACTAATTAGGAAAGTTTAGAAAAAAGTTTAAGCTTCAGGTAAGCTGATTGGGTGTTTAGAAAATTCTAATGGGTATCAGAAAAGTGAAATTTTCGGGGCACTCCTGCAAATTTTCCTAAAATTGCCAATGAAAAAACCTGTAAAGAACAAGTTTTGTTTTTGTTTTTCGCTTGTATCTCTATGAGTTTTGGTCTGTTTTGGACAATCTATATATTAAAATGTCCGGCTCAGTGAGCTGAACAACCTTTGAATAGGCTATATAATAGATTTAATTAGTAAAATATTGAGTACATAGACAAAAACCAAAAATATGGTTTTTGAAACATTTCCCGGCAACCAAGTGTTATTAGAACTTGAAACACAGCAGCCTAGGAGTAGAAAAGAGTGCTGAACAAGTTTAATTAATAGGTCAACTAAGGTTTACTTAGTAGAATATTGAGAAATAATTAAATGTTTTTTTGTGTTTTTGGTATAAATGATCTACGAAAAGAGTTACTTATTGTTTTAAGGTATTTAAACTTTTACTTTATCAATCATAAAACTTAATAATAATTAAATTACTATACTGTTACAAATCCAAAAGTATCAACTCATATTAAATCAATTGTTAGATAACAGAATAGTTAATCTTTCTGAAATATCTGAAGAGATTAATCAAACAATTTATTTAAAGAATTTTAAGAAAAAATATTATTTTTATAAGAGATTATTTATTACTTATTTGATAATCTCAATATTGAGTTTTATTTTCATTTTCTTTTATTTGAAAAAAGAGCATGACAGAGAACTTGTAGAACTAAAAAATAGTTTAACTGAATCACATAACAAAGCTCTTGATATGATCATGAAAGATGTTAATAAGTTTTGTATAAAATCATACTTTATATTTTAAATATTCTTTATTTGTAATTTGTTTTTTTTGTATTTTGTAAAACATGTTTTATTTCTATTAAAGTTAATTCTTGATAAACTATAAAAGTTAGGATTATCTGTAATACATCTGTATACATATCTTCTAATTATAAAAATGAACAATAATAAATCAAAAATTTCTATGATTTTTTAAAACTAAATAATAAAATACAATACTTTAACTTCCCAAAATAACTACAAAAATTGTTCTATGCTAGCCACATGTGATTGTTATGAATGTATTGAATAGATGACACCTCTTTGCCAATGTTGCTTTAAACATCATTGTGATGTAAAAACTTTTCCTGAATATGAAAAATATTATAATATTTGTGTCTCTCCTAATAAAAACACTATAGTTTTCATTCTTAGTACTAAATGAACAAAGATAACAACAACAATAGAAAATATTCACAAATATCCAAATTCAATCTTTAAACTTATATTTGAAGATAATAATATAAAATGAGATGATAAACAAGTCTTTGAGGTTCCAATTAATCCAAAATACTCAGAAGCAATTGAACAAGCTCTTCAATATTATGAAGTGGTAACAGAAAGTGTTGATGAAAAACTTGAAGAAGAGTTAAAGTTTTTTACTGATGAAAGAAATATTAAACTTTTATTTAATTCAGAAGATGTTTGTTTTTGTGAAAATAGAAAATTTAAAAAGAATAGTAAATGCAAAGAATGTCATAAGAAGATTTTAATCAAAAATGTATTATTGTGTAAAGAATGTAAAGTAAATAAAGTTGGTTGGAATAGGGTTCAAAAATATTATTTTAGATTCTGCATCAATTGTAAGAAGCAGAAATTTTGTAAATTGTGCAAGACAAATAAGACAGGTTGGGATAATAAAAAAAGGGAGTATTATGATATTTGTAATCTGTGTTATGAGTTTAAGAAAAAAAAGCTTCTTGATAGCTCAAATAGGAAAATAATCTGTATAGAATATAGTGCTAGATGGAATCAAATGATAGAATATGTGAAAGATCAACATGTTAATTAGCTTTCTTTATTTTTTTTTTGTATTATTATATTTTTTATTTAAATAAAGGATTGTAATATTTTTTGTTATCTAATTTTTAAATCAAGCATTATTTCTATTATTAAATAACATACAATAAGCATATTTAGTTCTAAACTAAATGAGTTATCAGACTCTATTAGTACTAAAGAAATTGAGTTATTAGACTCAATACATGAAAGTACAGAAAAATTTGAAAATATTTTAACAAGAGTAGTAATGATACTATCAAGTCTGTTTTATTTAATATTATTGAAATATATAAAACTCTTAGAGGTGCAGTTATTACACTTGGTATGGTAGCTAAATATTTTAGATACTTTAACTACTCTGCAAATCACAATGATTTGGAAATCTCTCTCAATGAAAAATACTAAAAAGGTATTTATATTTATGAAGAATTTGGTACACCTATGAATAAGTCTAAGGCAAAGACCCTATTCAAAGAAGTTGCTGAAAATAAGAATGAAAATAACTATTACAGAATTGAAGCATGGTTTTGATATATGATACTTTCTGAAGATCATGATGAAAATATGATCAAGAAATTTATTGATTACTTGGAATCAGTTGCTGAAAAAGAAGAAAGTGCAACTGAATTTTATACATTGAGTCTGATTTATTATACTGATCAAAAGTTTAAAGATAAAGAAAAAGGTAAAAGATATTTAATCATAGTTGCACAAAAAGGTAATGAAGATACAATCAAAAAATATAAAGAATATGATATAAAGTACTTGAACCCTGAAATATGTAACTTTTAGTTTATAGTTTAGGTTTTATTTAGCTAGAAATACAAATAAAATACATGTTTATTCTTCAACTACTTTTGGTGCTAGGTAGTAGTAAATATAGTTTTGTTCATCTTCATATTTAACAATAATTAAAAAGTTACTTTCTAAACAAATTTGTACTCATGTTAATAAAGAAGATGCTTTCATAATTATCAATAAAAATTTAAGTGAAAATAAATTATCTATATTATTTCCTGCTTTAATATTGATCTTATCATCAAATCCACCTGTTCTTTTTTCAAAGTACTAATATATTTATTATTAAAGTTACCAGTTGAAGTAAATTTAACTGTTTTAATATTTTGTTTTACAATTATTCTTACTGTTTCATTTACAATCATTTGGTCTAAAAATATTTTCTTTAATTCAACAGAAGGCATATCAATGATCACATAGTGGTTAGTGGGTGAGATACTGATCCTTTCCTAGTTGATATTTAGTAATTGAATTTTATATTCAGTTTCACTAGTATCATCAGAACCCCTGTATAAAACATTTAGAAAATCTGAATTTCTTAGTCTAAGTATAAGAATATTATTATTCTTCATATGACTGAGTATTTTGTTTAGGTAATAAAGATTTATGCCAATAATTTCATCTTTGTCATAAACATATTTTTCAAAACTTTTTTTATCAAGATGGACAGAGATAAGTGCAATTTATAATAAATCCATGTTTGAAAAGTTGATGTCAAATTCTGTAAATTCAATGTTAACATTAGTAACAAGCTCTTTTGTTGCTTCGATAACATGTTTAAATAATAATGCTTTAACAAAAGTTGCTTCAAACATTTTTATAAGTTAACTTAAATTTAGAATTGCTTTATTTATATATTTCATAGAGTTACATGTTATTTTCAAATAAATTTGGATTATCTAAAAATCTTTTCTTACATTTGAGTCTTACATGCAAAAAGACTAATTTTGGTTGAACTACCTCATAATATGTATGACATTAATATATTTTTACTTGGTTATTTATAGTTATTTTATTATATATAAATTTGTAAAGATACAGATAAACAAAATAAAGAAATGATTGACACCTATACATCACAGACCAAATATAGTTAATAAGTCTATTCGATGGTTAACTTTAACATTCGACTTAATATTAACAAATACATTAACATCAGTTTCAATATTAAAGTTAACTATCAACTGATCTAACTACTCTGGTCTGGCAGTGTATGGATGTCAATCTACAATTTTAACTATTAATACTACAATTAATTTTAAGATGACCAAATTCATTACATTTCCAACATTGTACATCTGGACAGTTTTGTTTGATCTGTTCAGACTTCTTACAGTTGTAGCAGTATTTTGTTCTTTTTGAGATACATGGTTTTGCATTATCATGAATCTTATTACAATGTTCACATAGTTCCTTTCTCAGATTGATAAATTTTGGTGTAGTTATTATTGCATTTAACTTGGTAGAATGTAGTTTTAGTTTGAGGAATACAATCTTAAGATCACTGCCAATGACTCTCTGGCACATTTTTAAATGTTCTTAAAATGCATCTTCATCATACTTATCACAATAGAATGAACATTTGGCTCAGATTTCGACTTTACCATTATTTTTAAATCTTATTGAATATGCTAATACACATCAGAATTACATCTACAGAAGTTTACAAATGATTTGCAAGAAACATAGCATGTGTGTAGGCCAACTTGTAAACATTGTGGGCATATCCCATAATGCCAATAGAATTTGGTATATCTTTGATTGAAGTAATGATCATTTTATTTTTAATAGAAATATTTGGGTTCAATGGTATCATTTTGTGTAAGATAGTTTCTTATTAAAGTAAACTTTCTTGGCAATGTTTCTTGATAACTAGAATCACTTGAATAGAAACTTTTACTTTTTGAAGTGCTTTCATATTTTTCTTCACATATCATTTGAAATAAATTAAAAGCATCTTTTAATGATATATATTTTGAAAATTCATAGAGATCAATATTCACAGAAGACATTTTTTTATTACTTTAACTGATGAAAATAAATGTTTATTTATAAAAACTAGAATCAGTACAAGAATTCAAAAAAGGAAATCTGATAACATATTTATTTATGTAATACATATTTTTCATAGAAATAACATATTATCTAAAACTGTATTTGATTTTCTTATTATTTAATATTTTTCTTACAAGATCTGAATTGCTAAGAATAATCTTTACTGTAGTGCCAAGATAAACAATTTCATAAGGTAGAATATGTTTAGAGAATCTTGAAATAAGATTATCAAATATTTCTATCTTAGTTTCAAAATGTAAAAAACTTTGTATAATATAATAATCACATATTCGTTTGATCTTAAATGATTTAATATTCTTATTTTCTTTTATAGTAGAATAGAATGTAACTAATTCCATTTTTGTATGAACAATAAGACTTGGAACTTTTAGTTTTAGCAAAAATCCTTCATTATATTTAACCTTATCAAGAATAAGTTTTTTAAGAGATGAGAAATATTGAACAAAAGCCTTGCATTGATCATTTACTTTCAGTTTAGTAATAGTGTTATTGGTTTCGATAATAAAATAATTCTCAATCCAAAGCATATTAATTTTGAATTTTGAAATTATCTATTGGTTAGGTTCTTAATAGACTTAAAAACTATATCAAAAAATGTATAGTCAATTGTAGAATTAATATAAAGAATTTTTAACTTTCTTTGATTAAAAATCATTATCAATGATTCATATGTTTGAATATCTAATTCTTCAAAAGTAATATTAAGTTGTTCCAAGATTGTTGTTTCTAAAACAACTTTAATAAAAAGCTCATTAGAAACAACATATACATCATTTGTTTTAATAAACAAATTACACAGCTTAAGAATAAATGAATAATCAATATGTTGTATAAATTTTATATAGTTGATTACTGGCTTTTTTATAAGCTTATCATTTTCAATTTCTAAATTGCTTAAAATAATTTCTCTATTTTTGTTACTTAGAGATCCAAAGAGAATATGTACAACTTCTTCCAAAATCTGTTTAGCTTTTTTATTTCCATTTATTTCTAATACTAAATAGAATTTTACAAAAAAAGCTGTTTATATTTTTTGGGTAACAAGATAAAAATAAACTTATTAATGCATAGAATATCATAGAGATCATTGAATTTGATATTATCACCAATCATTTCTGTTATTTCATTTGGAAATATCATTGTTAAATTTGGATTAAAATAATCTGTAATTATAGTCATTTAAATAGTTTTTAATGTAATACATTTTACAAAATAGTATAAACTTTTTATTAATAATATATTTATTAGTAAAACAACAAATCAAAATACAGATTTAGGATTATACAATTTTAATTCATTGCAATTGTTAAAAATCTCTTTTTGGTATTTGAACTTATGAAGTTACTATACTCAATAACTCTTCATTCAAAAAAGTTTGCTCTTGTGTATGTTGAAATGTAGTTTATATACTTAAATAGGTTCTTTTTAGTCTTTTCATTGCTAAAGCCTGTAAAATTCAATATTATTTTTTTAAGATAGTCTACATATTCACAAACCATTTCCAAGGTGAACCTATTGACATTGATTTCTCCATACTTCAAGATTTACAAGGTCCATATATCTTTCACAAGAAAAACCAGGTCATTGCAAATTCTTCTTGCTTGAGGTTCAGTAACTTTGCCAAAAAGTTTGTAGATATATGAATGACCATGAACATGCATGGCTTCTTCGATGCAGACCCAGTGGTTGCCAAAAACTGTTTCTGAAATGTTTTCACTGAATTAATATCTGATTATCTAGGCAAAGAATAGAAAGAACACAATACACTCGATAAATGCATAAGCAAAAAGCTTTTTACCAAGAGAAACACTGCAATCTTGAAATTTTCTGCAATAATCAAAGACTTTCTTAAATTTAACAAAATCTTTATAACATTTTTGGAGAAAAAGATACTTGTTAGGAAAGAATGCTTTGTCCATGTCTTTATAGAATCCATCATGTGTTTCTTCTTGATGATTTTGTTCTTTATAGAATTTGAGTAAGGTTTCTATATGTTTGGTTAAATTTGCTAAAGATTCAAGGTTTTTTATGAGTGAATCATTTAATGGATCCATGACAACACTATCAATTGTCAAGAAGAATCTACACATTATGAACAGGATATTCATTTCACAAGTATCTAACTTGGATAGATTTTGAACATCTCTATTAAAATCAATAACAAATCTTTTCCATGTACTTTTTCTCATTTCACCAATCAGGTCAATCAATTTATTGGACACTTCTTTGTTTTCCAAAACAGTAACTACATTCGATTTAGCCTTTCTAATACAATTTAAAAGTTTTATTATTATTCATTTCATTGTCTTGGGTTCTTTATTTTTACTTTGGTCTATTTTGAATTTAACAAAGAAAAGTGCAATCATGTATTCGCATCTTATTTATTTTATAATATTTGGATTTCATATTTTGGTATACAGATGATACAAACAAATAGATTATTGTATTGCACTTTATTTTTAATATAAATTTAAAATAAATTATCAACATCTTTATAAAAAATATATAAGAAATTTAATAATTTTTATTATCCAAGATGTTACATAATACATCAAGTTCTCTTCTATCTAATTTCTTTTTAATATAAAAATTTAATCTACATTTAAGATTTGATAGATAAGACAAGATAATATTATGTTTAGAAGCAGCATTTGTTGCATTCTTGGTATAATCTAGATTTGTTATAATAATATCCTGAACATCATTATAATTTGATATATTTGCTGTTCATTCAACATCATTAAATCTTATATTTCTTTTTTCTCTATATTTACAAGAAATTAAAGTTTTAACATCATATTTACTGACTATGATATCCTTATATGATTATTATAAATATGTTTTATAATAAAATTTTCATTTATATCATAATTATCTTCATATACAGAATTAATAATTTCATTCTTAAATGATAAATATGGATTATTTTCTTGGAATTTTACATAAATCTATAAATAAAAAATTACATTAATATATTATGCATCATCATGTTCATAACTGGAAGCTTTTCAATTATAGTCACCTCTATAGTTATATGTATGAATCTACATAGATGATTTTTTATAGGTAGACAAATGTTCCAACAATGTGAAACTTACTCAACCACAACATGACTTACATCCATATATACATTCAACATGTATATTAAGTAAAATTAATTACTTATAATAAAAAATAGGTGTTAGTATATTATGCATCATTATGTTTATAATTGATAACCTTCCACCTTACTTGTTTCTATAATTATATGTATAGATCTATATGGGTGATTTTTTACTAATGGATAAATGTCTGACAGTCATAAAGCTCACTCAACTAAAGTGTAACTTACATCTATATATACATTTAGCATGTATACTAACTTTTCTAGATTTACTAATAGATTTAAGATATCTAGCATTTTTACTCATAGTGATTATTTTTATAATTTTTTTTGTTATTTTTTTAATGTTTCTAATTATTAAACTGTTGTTATTTATAAAGTTTCAAGATTAATAACATAGTTGATAATTTATTATCAATTTACAAAACTATTGTTTCTGTATTTTACCTTTTATTGTTTTAGATTCTTTGTTGTTTTAATAAAGACATTCATTTACATTTGAAATTCTTGTTTTGGTATTGAAATAGTACAAGAAATTAGTATTATAAACTCTAAAACTCTGATCTTTTTCTTTGTTTAAAAGTAGTTTTACAAGCACTAACTAAAGATGCAAGCTGGTATTTACAAGATATCATTAATTGTACCAGTACTGGTTTTTATTATATTCTTATTGTTACATGCCAAGAAGCATGAAAACATCAGTTTCTTAGATGATAACTTTATCAGAATAATAAGTATCTCTTATGAAAGATTTCTTACTTGTGATATACAACTTT